TATATATATATATATATATATATATATATATATATATATATATATATATATACACATATTTACAGTAATAGAACATGTTGGCCAAGATTATTTTTCGACTTTCCATTAAATAGCTTAATGTGCTTTAACACAGTTTTACACAGGATGTTCCCTGGATATATGTTTTGGTCGACTAAGTGCAAGTGTAATTAAAATAAACATTCTAAGATACCACTTGGCCCCCTCTGTCTTACACTGCATCTGGAAAAAATAAATTAAATATGTCGGCTTTTGCTGTTCCTCAGCTCTATTTCTCAATGTTTTTTCCTGCTGTTGATTTTATCAAAGCTACAACAATAATATATATATATATATATATATATATATATATATATATATATATATATATATATATATATATATATATATATATATAGTCCCACATTTTGTTTGGTATAAAAACAATCCTTTCTTGGAGTGCTTTGTTTAGAATTGGTTAGATGTCATGTTCTCCCGGAGGTCTGTTTTTCAGTTCTTTTTGATTAATTTTTATAACACTTCAGTGTTTTTATTATTCATGCTCAAAAGGTTTTGCCAGATGCTCAAGGTGTTTTTACCATCAACTTCTTGGCTTATATGTTGATGCTTTACTGATTAGCTGCTTAGTTCATTCTTTTTCTGTCCTTTAGTGCTGTTTTATTAATTTATCTCCGCTCTGTTAATATTTTCCCATTGACTTGTAGTTTTTTGTGTGTCATGTCAGCCTCCTCTGTGTTTCTTTTTCTTCTTAAGCTTTCTTGCTGTTCTTCGCCCACAGCTGTTCCACATCTTCCCTGAATGTTTTTTGTTTCCTTACCATTTGCTTACTTCTCCCTCTACTCGTTGCTGAATTTCCCCCTCCATCTTAATGTTTCTTGTTATCCTGTTATCTGTCAGTGCTTTATGTTGTCAATAAAAGCATCTTTTGTACAATTAAGATCAGGTCTTCATGTTGGTTTTACTACATGATAGTAAAGGCGTGAAAAAGAAAGTCTTGCTTTGTTTTCGATGCAAAGCAAAAACACATTGGAACATCTCAAAGTCAATTGTATTTTTAAACTTTTCTTGTAGAATGTGTTAAAGCATGTTTCTAGGATATACTTGAACAAAGCATAATCTTGCTTTATGACTTTTTTTCTGAAGGAGACTAAAATCACCTTGCATAATCTGTCTAAAAATTCATAAACATATCAGCGATAAAAGATCCAGACATCACTTAAAACTAACGAGGCGAGCTATGCTCATAAAATAAGGTATGACCTCGCTGAAAATGTTCTCCTATGAGGGATGTCAGCCAGTAAAGGAGATTTTGCTTTAAAATATATCAAGAAGGTCCCACTCTTCTTATTAGCCTTATTATTCAACCCCATACACTGTGATCAGAGAAGGCAGTCATTTGAAGCCTCATGTACCAGAGGGCCCTGACTATGGATATATTACATTTTTTTTTTTTTGTCATTTTATTTTATATGAGAAGATTGCAATAACTCTCAGTAAATAATGAACATGAATGTCAGGTAAAAATAAGTAAGCTAAATTTATTTTGTGCTGTAGCCAAGTTATTTTGGATAGGTTAAAAAGGGTAAATTAAAATGTGTTAAACATGTGCTGTCTAAATGGCTCTACTTTCACTTATTTGTGAAGCACCATGAAGTGTTGTTGATGCAGAAATATAATCTAGATTTTATAGCACACATAAACACCATATTAAATAAAATGCAATGAAAAATATGATTTCTATCGTAGGTTTCTTGTTGTATTTTAACAAATATACCAGCAGTTCGAAGGTGCTAAAAGCAACAGCAACATGGTAAAAACACCTATCAAAGGCAACAGTTGCAGGTGTTATGTTATGTATTAAATTCAGTTTCTCTGAGCTGCAGGGTGGTAAATGTGATATAGGATTACCATTTTATAATATAATTTCACATGGAAATGCCATCACAGCAGCAACTTATTTCAGTGATTAGTTACCAGCCAATATGTTTTGAAGATCCCCATTTCTTCTATTAGCAGCTGGTTATGTGCCTAATTTATTTATTCAGTCTTTTCCAACAACTTAAAGAATTCAGAAAAAAAAAATGCCTGAATGCAATCTTCCCCAAAAAAACTAACAAAACTTCTTCACCAAACCACACCGTGTCGGTATGAGTTGAATACACATAGGTGAGATGTGGGAAATTATCGCAAACTCACAGACCAATAACCCAGAAGTCACTTGTTTACAGTTCTACCGGAAGAGCTATACGTTTTATCATTTCGGAGAGATAACATAACTGAGCGCATTGTAAGCAAGAACATTCTTCCAAAGGACTTGATTTGTGGCCATTTATCCTTTTATAATTGATTCCAATAAACTGTAAAAAAAAATTAAAGCAAAACCATTGAAATGGTTCAGATGAAAAATACTTCCTTTAAACTTTCAAATGAACATACTGTAAACACATTAAATAATAATAATAATAATAATAATAATAATAATAATAATAATAATAATAATAATAATAATAATAATAATAATAATATACTGAAATACCTGATTAAAATGTAAGATGTTGTAAAACAAAACAAAATTTGTATTTAATAAGATCTTTTGGTTTGGCCTCCTTTTCTCTTATCCTTTTTTTCTTTTCAGATAATTGACTGAGTAGTTCTGATTTACGCAGAAAGAAACAAAATGCACTAAATGAATATTTTTGTTATTCTGCCATTTATATACTTTTGATTAATTTCATATTTGTTAATCGTTACTCGTTATAAACATTGAGTATTTTTGTGTTTGCATGAAGCATAGAGTACATCTGTTTGAACATGAGTTTAAAAATGAAAATGTACTGTGTCACCTGGCCTCTTGCATTCTCCCTTGCAAAAGAAAGACACAGTTTTAAGGTTGCATATACTTTAATTAGGATTAATGAGGATAGTTATTAATCAAGTCCTGACCTCATTCACTTCAGATTTCTACATCTGTTATTTTCTTCTGTTTCCTGTCACTACCATTTGTTCAGGATCACTGAAAACAATGTTTTTATTGATCTACCTAGTTATAGTTACACAGGCCTGTTTTATATTGGCCTTTTTCATAATCTAAACATGTTTAATTATTATCATGTAACTACAAAACCTGTAGAAGCAAAATTATTAATAGCAATTGACCATTACTGAATGGGAAACAAATCAGTGGGGCTTTATGTTTCGTCTATCCGTCTTTTTCCATAATGGCTGTGATCTAGAGACAGAGCCCAATTGTCTCACTAGTTCTTTCAGGGGTTTCTTGGCAGTTCTGGGAATAAATTATTGAAGAACAGAAGCCCCATAACCGACAAAGTAGGCAATTTTAAGAACGGTTCAGAGCTGTGGGATGTAGGGAAGCTAAAGATGGATATAGGACAAAAATGACCCCGGTGGGTTTAGTGGAAGAGATGAGGTCCTGTGTCGCAAAACAAGTTAGAGGAGGTATGTTAAATAAAGTTTGACCATGAGCTAGGGACACAAGATGTTTATTTCTTTAATTTCAAATAATACATTTTGCAAAATAACAACATAC